GGCTATGTGCCTGTCTTCTTCAGAGAAGTTTCTGTTCATGTCTCTTGCCCACAAAGAAAGAGAGTTTTTCACAGATCACAGCAACCTCCAACTCCTGGGCTTAGGCCACTCTCTTAGCTCAGACTCCCAAGTAGCTGGGAATATCGGCACCTGCCATAATGCCCAGCTATTTTTTGTTGTTGTTGCAGTTTGGGTGGGGCTGCATTCAAACCTGCCAACCTCGGTATATGAGGCTGGCACTCTACCCACTGAGCCATAGGCATCGCCCAATTTTGTTAATCTTCTCAAAGAACCAAGTTTTTGTTTCTTTGATCTTCTGCATTATTCTTTTGTTTTCAATGTCACTCAATTCTGCTCCAATTTTTCTTATTTATTTTCTCATATTGGGTTTGGGGTTGGACTGTTCTTACTTTCACAGTTGCTTGAGAAGACCTATTAGGTTGCTGACTTCCTCTCTTTCTGCTTTCTTCATGCAGGCTTCTAATGTGATAAATTTCCCTCTGAAGACTGCCTTTGGGGCAGTGCCTATGGCTCAAAGAGTATGGCATTGGCCCCATATAGCAGGGGTGGTGGATTCAAACATGGCCCTGGACAAAAACAGCAAATAATAATAATAATAATAAAGATTGCCTTTGCATTATTCCACAGGTTTTGATAATTTGTGTCTTTATTTTCTTTGGTTTTAAAAATTTAATTTTTTCTTCTTAATCTTGCCTATTACCCAGCAAGATGCTGGGTATGCTTATGTCATTCAGCATAAGGTGATTTAGTTTGGGTGACTTTGTTTGAGTACAAAGATTGATATTGCTGTTGAGTTTGACTTTTATGCCATAAATAGTCTGAGAAGATACAAGGAATAATTTCTCTTCTTTTAAATTTTTTGAGATTAGACTTGTATCCTAAGATATGATCAATTTTGGAGGATAAGCCATCAGCTAATGAGAAGAATGTGTATTCAATTTTATTTGGATAAAATGATCCGTAGCTATCTGTTAAGTTTATTTGTTTTATGATCAAATTTAAGTCTATCATTTCTTTGTTTGCTTTTGTCTTGGAGAATCTATCCAATCCAGAACTGACAAAGAGGTGGTAATAACACCAACAATTATAGTGTAGGAAGATATCAAATTGTTGATATCCATTAGGGTTTTCTGTATAAATTGAGGAACATTCAGGTAGGGTGCATATATTTTAATTATTGAAATCTCTAATGTTAAGTGTTTCCCATCACAAATATGTAGTGTCCATCTTTGTCTTTCCTTATCTTTGTTGGTTTAAATTCTACTATGTCTGCAAATAAAATTGCAAGACCTGATTTTTTTTCTAATTTCTATTTACCTGTGTTATAGATGTCCATTCCTTCACCTGAGTATTTTTGTCCTTTGAGGTAAGATGAGGCTCTTGTATGAAAGAGATACCTGACCTGGATTTTTGCATACAATCAGCCAACCTGTGCCTCTTTAGAGGATGATTTAAGCCATTCACGTTAGTTGAGAGAATTGATAGCTATGATAGTGTTTTGCCTGCCATATTTTTCAAAGGTCCAATGGATATTTTAATTCTTTCACCATTGTGGAAGTTACATTTTATTTGATAAATTCTGGATAAATTTACTTTGTTGGAAGACCACTCTACTGGTCATTGCTTAAAAGGGGTCTGAGTATTTCCTGGAGAACTGGTTTAGTTATGGCAAATTTCAACAACCTGGGCATACCAGTGAAGTGTTGGATTCCTCCATCACAAATGAAACTCAGTTTACCTGGACACAGTATTCTAAGTTGAAAGTTGTTTTGTTTTAGAAGATTGAAGGTCAATGACCATCCTCTTCTGCCTTGAAATTTTTCAGCTTCACAATCTGAAGCCATTCTGATATTTCCTCCTTTGTAGGTAATACTTTCCTTATGTTTGGCTCTTGCAGAATTATCTCCCTCATATTAAAGTTGGCAAAGTTAATTACAATGTTTCTAGGAGATGCTTTATTTAGATTGAGTCTTGCTGAAGGTCTGAAACTGTCTACTATCTGAGTTTATCTATCTCTTGCAATGCCTTGGAAATTCTTGTCCATGATAATCTTGCAGTAGAGCATCTGTGCCTTTAGGACCACCCCCCTTCTCCTTTGGAACTTCCTATATATCAGATGTTTGGAATGATCCCACAATATTCTCAGGGAATGATCTGTTTTTGCTTCCTTTTTTTTTTTTTCTTTTGTGTCTTTAAATTCTTGTGATTGCTCCTGTTTTGTTTTTATTTCTGAGTAATGTCTTGGTTATTCCAGGTTTTTTATGATTCTATATAAAATGAATTATTTTTTCAAGATCTTTAAAATATGAGGGGGAGCTTTAATAGGGATTGCACACTACCAGACCTCAGATTATACTATAAATCCATAGTGATAAAAACAGCATGGTAATGGCACAAAAATAGAGAGGTAGATGTATGGAACAGAATAGAGAACCAACAGATGAATCAAGCTACTTACCGTAACCTGATCTTTGACAAGCCAATTAAAAACATTGAGTGGCGAAAAGATTCCCTATTTAACAAATGGTGCTGGGCAAACTGGCTGGCAACCTGTAGAAGACTGAAATTGGATCCACACCTTTCACCATTAACTAAGATAGACTCTCACTGGATTAAAGATTTAAACTTAAGACATGAAACCATAACAATGCTAGAAGAAAATGTAGGAAAAACTCTTGAAGAAATTGGTCTGAGCGAATATTTTATGAGGACACCCCAGGCAATTGAAGCAACATCAGAAATACACTATTGGGACCTGATCAAAGTAAAAAACTTCTGCACAGCCAAGAACACAGTAAGTAAAGCAAGCAGACAGCCCTTAGAATGGGAAATATTTTTGCAGTTTATGTCTCTGACAAAGGTTTAATAACCAGAATCCATAGAGAACTCAAACATATTAGCAAGAAGAGAATGAGTGATCCCATCTCAGGGTGGGCAACAGACTTGAGAAATTTCTCCAAAGAATATCGGCGCATGGCCTACAGATATATGAAAAAATTCTCACCATTCTTAATCATCAGAGAAATGCAAATCAAAACTACTTTGAGATATCACCTAACTCCAGTAAGATTAGCCCATATCACAAAATCCCAAAACCAGAAATGTTGGTGTGGATGTGGAGAAAAGGGAATACTTCTATACTGCTGGTGCGAATGTAAACTAATACTTTTTTTTTGGAAAGACATCTGGAGAATACTTACAGAACTAAAACTAGACCTGCTATTTGATCCTGCAATTCCTTTATTATGTATATACCCAGAAGACCAAAAATCACATTACAACAAAAATATTTGTATCAGAATGTTTATTGTAGCCCAATTCATAACTGCCAGGTCATGGAAGAAGCCCAAGTGCCCATTGATCCACGAATGGATCAACAAACTGTGGTAAATGTACACCATGGAATACTATGCAGTCATAAAGAAAGACGGAGACTTTTCGTCCTTCATGTTCACATGGATGGAGCTGGAAAGTGTTCTTCTTAGCAAAGTGTTACAGGAATGGAAGCAAAAGTATCCAATGCACACAGCTCTATTATGAAATTAATTTATAGCTTTCATATGAAATCTATAACCTAATAACAGCCTAAGTATACGGGGAGCGGGGAGGGAGAAGGGGAGAATGGGTGGAGGGAGGGTAATTGGAGGGATCACTTCTATGGTTTATCTTACAAGGGTACAAGTGAATCTTTCTAAGAGTAGAATATGATTGTCTTAACACAATAACTAAGAAAATGACATGAAGGCTGTGTTAACCAGTTAGATGAAAATATTTCAAATTGTATATGAAAACACCAGACTGTACCCCAGAATTGCATTAATGTACATTAGATATCATTTAATTAAAAAAAGAAAAAGAAATAAAATAAAATTTTAGCTGAAAAAAAATTCTTGTGATTGTTCAAAAGCCTTATCTTCAATTTCAGAGATCCTTTCTTCTGCATTCTTAACTTTGTTACTGAGGTATTCTACTGTGTTTCGAAGCTTCTCCAATACCTTTTTCATTTCCTTAAGTTCTGCTATCTCTTTTCTCATTATTTCCATATCCTTGTTAATTTTGTCTTTGAATTCATTAATTTCTTGAGACAGCTTATGAACACTGGATTTCAATTTCCATCTTTTCTTCCATTCTATTAATTTTATTAGCCAACCATATTCTGAATTCTATTTCTGAAATTTCAGCCATTTGTTTATGAATGGCATCTTCTCCCGTATCTCCTTTAATATTCCTTGGGGCAGTTGATCTACTCTGATTATTCATGCTGCCAGAGTTTTTCCACTGGTTCTTCCCCATGATTATTTTTCACAGTTTGGCTAGTGAAGCTGATAAGGTGATATTGGATTGAGAACTCCAGGAGTTATAGTTAACCAGCCTTTTATCAAAGAGCTGGGACTTGACTGTGGCTTTTCCCCTATAGTTTTTCAAAGGTCCCATTCAGAGCTGCAGCCTGAGACTCTGAGAACCTGCTTGGTGTGATAGAACAGGCTGGCTCTGTCTTGTAGTCAGCCAGCCACTATCCAATCCTAAAGAGTTGTAGTATTTGGCTGAAATCTCAGCTGGTGAGAGATACTAGCAACTGTGGTGCCCCATCCCCCACCAGCAATAGCTGGAGGGAGATAATCTGTCCCTGCCACTACAAAACAACCACAACTCAACATTTTAGGATCCCTGAGTGGACAGCTCAGGTCAAGAGTTCTAATCTGATTGTCCCAGGCAGTACAATAGCTGCTCATCAGGGAGAGTTCAAAGGGTCTCTAGCAACCTGATAGTAGGAATCCACAGGCAGTTCTGCCTCTGTTGAAAGTTGCCTCTAGTTAGCCATCTTACTTGCTCTCATAAATCATTATTTTTAATATATTATGCCAATTTCTATCTTTTATGTGTAGAATTTAAGCCATTTATGTTTAAGGTGTATATTGATATGTGAGGCTTTGTCCTGTCACATTGTTACTTGATTTCTAGTTGCTTTTTATTTTTTAGGTACCAAATTTCTTTATTTGAAGGAATGGTACAAATGAAAGAATTTAAGTGGATGTTTTGGTACAACTTATGGAAAAAGTAAAGGAATCCTCAACATGCATGCACTGCCTTGGTGATCACGGAAGTCACCCTGTGACTATGGGGAAGTTAGCCTAAGGCTTAGCTCTCATTATCACTGTCTCCCAGGGTGTGCTGGTCAAACAGATACTCTGCCATGCCAGATTCAGGGGCTCCCATCTTGTGCAGGTTGGTTATGTGGTCACCCAGTTCTTTGATGGATTTCACCTGCTCATTCAGGTAATGTGTCTCAATGAAGACACAAAGGGGGGGTCATTTTTGTCAGTGGCCAGTTTGTGCAGTTCCAGTAGTGACTGATTCACACTTTTTTCCAAGTGTAACACACACTCCATCGCATTCAGCCTGGCCTTCCAGTCATCACAGTCTGTTTTTTTGATATCCTGAAGGAAGATTCGGCCACCTAGTTGATTCTGCAGCTTCATCAGTTTCTCCGCATATTCCCTCTCCTCATGAGATTGGTGAAGAAAGTATTTGGCAAAATTCTTCAAAGCCACATCATCGTGGTCAAAGTAGTAAGACATGGACAGGTAGAAGTAGGAGGCGTGGAGCTCCAGGTTGATCTGGCGGTTGATGGCGGCCTCGGAGTCCTGGTGGTAGTTCTGGCACACCTGCGAGGGGGTTGCGGTAGTCATGGCGGCGGCTGCTTAGCGTTGGAGTGGAGGCGGGGGCCTTGGGACGGTCTGAGGGCATGGTGAGGAGGTGTAGGAAGGCTGGCTGTGAGCGCTGGTCTGGATGGAATACAAGTGCCGGGTTCTGTCCAAGCACTGTTGAAGCAGGAAACCGTGGCTACTCTCCACAAAGAACGTCTGCTCTAGCTGCTTTTTAAAGTCTTTTTTTTTTTTTTTCTCTTTGTGGTTTGCTGAACTAGTGACATGATGCCATTTGTTTCTTTTCTCTTCCTCCTTTCTGTGATTATTTTATAAGACCCATGAGTTTTATAATTTCATGTTTTTATATTGGTGAATAGTGATCTTTAATTTCTGTGTTTAAGTCCCTTTTGAGTATTTTCTCTTGAACTGGGCTACTGTTGATAAATTCTCTCAGTGTTTTTTTTTTTTTAAGACTTTATTTTTCTCTTTTTCTTTTATGAAGCTTATTCTGGCAAGATATAAAAAGATATAAAATTATTGGCTGACAGGTTTTTTCTGTTGTTTTTTTTTTTTTTTTCGTTTTGTTTTATAGACAGAGCTCACTCTGTTGCACCTGGCTAAATTACTGTGGTGTCATAGCTCACAGCAACCTCATGCTCCTAGGCTCAAGTGATCTTTCTGCCTCAGCCTCCCAATTAGCTGGGACTACAGGAATGTGACACTATGTCTGGCTAGGTTTTTCTTTCTTTCTTTTTTTAATAGAGATAAGTTCTCTCACTTGCTCAGGTTGGTCTCAAACCCCTGAATTCAAGCATTCTACCTGCCTTGGCCTCCAGAGTGCAAGGATTACAGATGTGAGCCACCATGCCAGGCTGACAGATTCTTACATCACTTTGAAAATGTCATCTCATTCCTTTCTGCCCTGTAAGATTTCTGTTGGGAGGGCTGCTATTACTCAGAATATCAAATTTAAAAAAAGAAAAAAATTTAAATGTTAATTCTACAGAAGTTCAATGAGATACAAGAGAAATGTGAAAACCAGTGCAAAGAAATAAGAAAATCAATTCAGAATATGAATGAGAAATTACCAATGGTACAGAAAAAGTGCAGAAAAGAAGAAAGAATTTATAATGCAAGTAAAAATCAACTACCTATGTGACAATAACAAAGCTTCACACATCAATATTAACCTTGAACATAAATGGATAAATACTTTATAGGTGGCAATATTCTTTTATCTTTCAAATTTTTAAATTTTCTTTTTCAGTTTGGCATTAGTCATTCTGACTATAATGTGCCATGGTGAAGTCTTTTATGCATTGTATTTTCCTGGGGACTTCAGGAATATCTGTCTCTCCCCAGATAGTACTGGAAATTTGTTTTGTTATATCCCTAAATAGGGTTTCTAACAGTTTACCATTCTTCTTGTTTGGGAATAAAAATAATTCATATGTTAGGTCCTTTTTGAGGTCCCAGATGTCTCAAAGGCGTTGCTTATTCTTTTCCATTCTTCTTTTTACCCTAATTTTCATTTGATTAGATTATTTTGAAAGACTTTCTTCAAGGTCTGAGGTTTATTCAATTCCCACAATGAATTTTTTAACTCCATATTTTCTGAGTCTCTTAAAAAGATAACTATATCTTTGGTAAAATTCTCATTCATGTCCTAAATTAATTTTCTGATTTTTTTATCTTATTTTTCATATACCTCTTAAATCTCTTTAAGCTTCTGTACAATAAATATTTTAAAGTTTTCATCTGGTATTATGAGGAATTCTTTTTGATTGATATTCATTGCTGGACAACTGTACTCCTTTGGTGGTGTCATATTTGCTAGCCTTTTCCCTTGTGTCCTTCTGTTGATGTCTGTGCATCTGATGTAATGGTTCCTTGCTCTGATTTTTGAAAATCATTTTGAAGGGGTGAATTTTTTCCTAAATATGTGTATATGTTTTTGGTTGAATAAGATACTTTGGCTTTGATTTTGTGTATCTGTAGTACTATTGTCTTTCTTAGGCGGTACACAGAGTCAATGGTATATATAATTTTGTGCGTGTATGTGTCTTAGGAAACAATTATTATTTGAGGTTGTGGTAAAGTCTGAGTGGGGAATGGAACACCAGCCAATGTAGTATTTGAGCCCTACAAGTGGAAGCCGTGGATTGACTAAGCCTAATATTAAGCCTAAAAGTGGTTAACAGCGGCAGCATTTCTACTGTTTCCTCAGAGGTCAATTCTTGAGCCTTTATGTGGCTTTTTCAGAAGGTAGTAGGTTGGAGCAAAGGGGTGAGTTTGTTCACTTATTCTCAGGCTCCCAAGTTGCTTGTGTGATGTGGAAGGTGACAGTAGCAGTGGTAGAGCCAATCATTAGGAGCCAAGTGATCTGTATTTATGTTACTGGTAGCTGAAATGGATTGGGAAGGCTAGTCCCCAGTTCCACAGCTGCATAAAACAGAGCAGTAGGTATTTTCCAAATTATGCTTGGCAGTGCTTGATCTGCCCTCTACCTCCTTAGCTATGCAGGGCTGCAGCTGCATCAACCCAAACTCAGTCTGATGGTGGGGAAGTTCCCAACTTTCAACTTCCAAACTGGTGCTTTGTGTCTGTGACCAAATAGTATGGAGCTTCTTTCAAGAAAACAGTGTTGGAAAAATGCTGAATGGAGTGTTTTCCTCTTGAATCTTGGTCTCACTGCATTCCATAGCAGTGAGCAGAATTTTCCTAGAGTTGTATAGAAGACCCTGCATTTATTCAACCATTCTCAGCTGTGTGTAGCTACATGCGCATCAGTCTGAATTTAGCTCAAGTGTGGGGCCCTTCTGGGCACTAAACTTGCAGAATGGCCCCTTAGGCTTGTGTCCAGAGAGAAAAGAGTTTTTTAAGGCAAGCATAACTGGCAGGAAAATGTGAGGAAAACAGTTTTCTTGAGAATTGTTCCTGCAGCAACTGACTATAGGATGATGGACAGTGTCCCAGATGCATGATGGAAAGCCCCAAAGATGTGGAGACTGTAGCAAAGTCAGGTAAAAATAAATCCAAAGGTGGTGTGTAGGCAAGTATTAAGGTCACAAAATGGCACCTTGTGCTTGCACATTAGAAGACTGGACCTCCACTTTGGCAAAGAAGCTTAGATGAGAAACTGGAAAATATCCACTCACTTGTCAATCTCTCAACAGCATTCCACAGAAGGGTGATGAAAACACTCCTAAGGATATGTGGGTGTTCATGGGCTCCTCCATTTCTCCTTGGAACCATGCAATAGCTTCAGGTGTGCCCAACACACACACGTGAGCACACACACACTCATGTACAGGTTGCCTCTTCAAGCCTCCCCTTCATTCAAGGTGTTTGGTTCCATAATGAGCTCAAACCTGGAGAATGATGTAGTTGCCATAACTTTGTTTTTACAATTTAGGTTTTGGCCATTTGACCTAGAATTTTTTTTTAAATTTTGCTTGTACAGATCAAATAATAGTACAATAAGCTTCCTAAATATGGATTTCATTTCTAGGAACATTATGATCAATTAGCCAATGCTATACTGAGTCAGAATGTTCTGATGCTACTCTTGAGTCCACTATTCAGTAAACCAAGAATGTCCACCATGCTTTTTTGGCAGTTGAGTACTGCCACTTAGTCCCTGCCATGTTGGAATCCAATTAATCCCATTGCACTTAAATTTCCCAATTCAGTGATGACAGTTACTACTGTAGGGGATTATCTACAGATAAAAGGAACAATAGAGCTATTCAAGGACTCTGTAGAACACTTCACAAATTATTTTTCACACTATTGATGGAAAACATGGTTTATGGACATAAATAAATACTTACATAAATACCTTAACTAATAGAGTTCATTTTGTACCACGTGGATTTGAAATAGTCTGATATCATTTGCCTTCAGCCTCTTACTATTTATTTTAATGTGGGCCTGCTTGCAACACATTTTTGTTTTTGCTTATCTTGAAATGTCTTTAACCTATCTTCATTTGGTATAATAGAATTGATGGATATAAGATTCTTAACTGACTACTGTTTTTAATTTTGATAACTTAAATATGTCATTCCACACTCTCTGTTGATGAAGAGTCAGCTGTAGTTTTACAAGTTATCATGTGTTAATGAGTTGTTTTCCTCTTACTGCTTCCAAAAAATTTTGCTCTGACTTTTTAAATTTTTTATTTCTATTTTTTAAAATTTCAGATCAACATGAGGGTAAAATGATTTGGTTACATTATTTATATTGGTTATATAAAGTCCAAGTTGTAGTTGAGACTTTCACCCAGGGGGTATGCCAAATACTGTAACATTGTGCACATTAGGGGGAGAACTTACCAATCGCCTTTATTTTTTCCCACTCCACCCTTCTCTTTTCCCCTCTACCTATTTGGTTTTAATTGTGTTTTTCTCTCACAGTAACTAGTTGTTTATCTATGGTTTCATATTAATATAGAGGACATTGGATGCCTGATTTTCCATTATTGTAATACTTTATTAAGGAGAATGTTCTTCAACACCATCCAGGTTAATGCAAAACATGTAAAGTCTCCACCTGTTGTGGCTGAATAGTATTCCATGGTTTACATATACCACAGTTTATTAGTCCATTCGTGGGTTGATAGGCACTTGGTTGAGTCCACATCTTGGTGATTATGAATTTTAATACAAATATCCTTGTGGTAGAATGACATTTTTCTTCTAGATAGATAACTCATATGATTCAGAGATTCAAATGGAAGGTCTACTATAATGTATTTGAAGATTAACTCCATACTTCTTTCCAAAGAGGCTATACTAGCTTGCAATCTCACCAACAGTGCAAAAGTGTTTCCTTCTCTTCACACCTACACCAGTATTTTTAGTTTTGGGACTTATTAATGTGGGCTATTCTCACTGGGATTAGGTGATATCTTAAAGTGGTTTTGACTTGCATTTCTCTGATGTTTAGGGACAATGAGCATTTTCTCATGTGTTTATTAGCCTTTCAACTATCTTGTTGGGGAAAGGCTCTGCTCACGTCTCTTCCCTTTTTATAAATGGGATTTTTTTTGTTCTTTTCTTGATGATTAGTTTGAGTACTTTACAGATTCTAGTTATCAGCCCTTTGCCAAATTCATGTTATGCAAATATCTTTTCTCATTCTGAAGGTTGTCTGTTTGCATTTATTGCTGTGCCCTTAACTGTATGGAAACTTTTTAGCTTAGTCATGTCTCATTTAT